AACTGCTTGATCCAAGGATAAATCTGACTGCCATTCTGGGGTCAAGAAGGATTTTCTACCTAGCTTGCTGCAAAATTGGAAGTGCTTCAAAGTACTGGGTTGTTTTTTGTTTTTTTTTGCCTTCTTCAACAGCAAAAAACATACGTGTGGAATACTGAACTTGATGGACGCAAGTCTCGTTTCAGCTGTGTAACTATGGAGGTAAATTCACAAAACAAGCTATACCAGCTTAGATATAAGAAATAAAGAAACCAGCTAGATTAGAGCAATTATATGCCCCCGCAGGAGCCATAAATTGTGACTAATTACAAATAACAGTAAAAACTGCTGCAGGATACTCTACCACAGGAATGAAAGACAAAATATAAAGAAAGAAATTGGCCAGAGTCAGTGCAGTCCGGGCACTTCAGCCTACACCCAGTCACAGTGTACATAGCTTGCTGTAGGCAAAAAAACACCGCAGGAACTACACAGACAACAGCATAAACAGTCCAAGCACCCCCAAGATCGAAAACTGCCCCCTCCTTCTTGAGAGGCTTCCTGTGTATTTATTTAATAGCCCTCACCGCGGGGATTAGCTGGACACTGGGATGTCCCCCAGCTTTTTTAATGAACTCCCCCCCCCTACTGGACACAGTGATCTGTCTGTTTTTTTTTTTTATTTTTCATCCCCCCACCTGATGTTCTGGGCAGCAAAGACTAACCAGATGGTAGTTCAGGGGTAGGAAACCTGCAGCACTGCAGATTGTTGTGGACTGCATTGTGCTGCATTGGTCCAAGAATGAAATGCTGCCCCCACCCCCTGCCAACATCCATTATGTTATGCAGTGTGTTTATTGTATGCCGTGTGTGTAGTGAATGCATTGTGTGTGTGTGTATAGTGGATGCAGAGTTTGTGTAGTAGTTGCAGTGTCTGTAGTGGAGGCAGTGTCTGTGTGTCATAGATGCTGTGTCTGTTTTTGTGTCATGGATGTAGTGTTTATTGTATGCAGTATGTGTATTGAATACAGTGTGTGTGTGTGTGTGTGTGTGTGTGTGTGTGTGTGTGTGTGTGTGTAGTGGATGCAGTGTGTGTATTGAATACATTGTGTGTGTGTGTCGTGAATGCAGTTTTTGTGTGGTGGATGAAGTGTGTTTAGTGGATGCAGTGCCTGTGTAGTCAATGTAGTGTAAGCAGTGTCTGTGTATGTAGTAGTATATGTATTGTGCATGTAGTGTGTGTAGTGCTGGATAAGTGCTAAGGGGTAAGCACTTTAAATTATATTGTGCTTATTCCCCCCTCCCTGCCTCTTACCTTTGGACTGAATGGGGATGGGAGGGGCAGTGTGTAGGAAAGTGACAGTGTGGGGGTTAGTGTGTAGGAAGGTGAAAGTGTGGGGGGGCAGTGTGTAGGAAAGTTGTGTGGGCAGTGTGTGGGATTGACATTGTTGGGGGGCAGGCTGTGGGGGTGTCAGTGTGGGGGGACATTCTACGCTCAAAGTCACTACACACAAGCTCAGTGACACACATACACACAGACACAAGCTCATGGACACACATACACACAGACACAAGCTCACTGACACACTAGCTCTGTGACACATACACAAGGATACTACACACAAGCTTTTATTTTTTTAAACATTATAAATTGGTATTTATTATTGTGTTTTTAAGCTTAAATTTCTGTATCTGAAAAGTCCAATCCCAATCATCATCAGTCCGATTATATGATTTAACACTCTGTACATCCCATGACCGGTGTATAGTCGCCATATGGGCAGTCAGACTCCAGGACAACCCTCCCACATACCTAACCCAATAATCGCACTGACACTCGGGTATATGGGAAAATTTGTCCACAGCTTTATTAAACAATCTTAAATAATAATAACAATATATTAATTGTAACATAATAATAATAACAACTTAACAAATAAACATGGGTCATTGCCCCCCATACTCCGCCCTCACATCCAACTCCTTCTGTTATATAAAAGGCAATGACCCCCATATAAATAACACATACATATATATATATATATATATATATATACACATATATATATATACACACACACATATACATACATACATACATATACATACATACACCGACATTATTCCAACATACCAACTTAAAGTGCCAAACATAAGTTAACCATGGCAGGGGTATACCCGGATACCCCTACCCCACCAGGTTCTGAGCCACCGACAGGACTCGAAACCTACCAACCACCAATGACCACAGTTTCCTTTTCTGCCATGTTCATCCTAGGGAGCCTATTCCGTCTCCTTCAGCTCCCTATCCCGCCGCTGTGAAAAAACGGGATATCTCCAACCATAAACAATATATACATAAATATAGGGAGGGTGGGTGGGACAAACTCGGCCAGGTAGGAAATTAGAAGTGAGCTCACCTAAAATGGCTGCCTATTTAAATAGCCCAGCCTACTTACCCATAACTCCATACTTCCTTCCCTCCTCCTAATGCCCGCCTCCTAACCCCTGTCAAGGCCCTTTTTCGCTTAGCTGTGCTTTGGCTACATGGGGCTACAGTATGTATTTGGCTCCTTAATTGTAGGGGACTATGGGATCAGTCCGATATACGATTTAGGAGGAGATTTTGCACTGTAGTATACGGTTCTAGTGACTGAATATGAATCGCAACAGTTTCTGGTTTTTTAACATTATGTTCTATAGATAAATTCACAGGTGACTGTTTAGATTGCAACAGTATCCAGCTACAGAATTGCACCATTTTCTAGTCCTTTAACCTAGTGCTCCAGATTGAATCTATTTGAATCTATTATTTCCCATAATATGCATCACTACTATATCTATATATAAGGTGATGCTCTTTTATGGTGAATATTTTTGTTTCCACTTGAGCAGTTGTTCTAGCGGTCTTAATTAATTTTCTTTTCACATCTAAGACCCACTAGGTGGTCTTCCACTGACCTTTACGCTAGTCTGAGTGTCTTTTCTCTCTCCCATTTTTTTTGATTATTAATAAAATTTGATCATTATTATGTGCAAGTTTTTCTATAGTTTAATATATGAGGTAGTACTGGGGAGGTGGTTGCTCTCCTCTCTAGTTTCCAATTTTTCTTCTAGTTTTTTGTTCCCCAGGGTTAGGCCCTTTACTACCAATATTACCCATTGTAACGGATCACCTGGCACCCCGACTGGGTACCTCCGTTGAAGAATGCTCCTAGCGGTTACAGAGGGCTCCAAGCGCTCTGCCAGACACCACAACCACCGTAGATCCCATGAACCACCGCAGCTTGGTTGGGGTCTCCTACCCACCCTGGACCTACGACAAGGCTCCAGGTTCCCATGGGTGAACCTCTCCTCCAAGAGAGTGAAGCAGGAACAAGCTCTTACAAGAGCTCAGTGATTATAGCAAGGGAATATGCAGAGCATAGCATTCCCTTGTAGCAGATCCCCCCAATAAGAGACAGGACTCAGATTGAGGGTGAAGTAGAACTGACTGTACTGGCACATACAGCCTCTTTCATTCACAATCCATAAGCATAGCACCGCCCACAGGGTTTTGAAATACAACCAATCAATCCGTACAACACACACAGACACTCCCACACAAAATCCTCCCCTCTGCCTGTGATATGATTACTGAACACAATGGTTAATATAATTATGACAGGCAGATAAATACAGTATTATAAAACACATCACAAGGACCCCAAAACACGCAATAACCCCATAGTATATCCTTGGAACTGGGGGATCTGGGTGAACCACATATCCAAAATTCACCCAGATCGGTTCAGTAGTTTGGAAGATACAGTTTAATGCAGATTCTGCAGAACATATGCAGGCTATATGAAAACCAATTACTGTATAATGTGTCCCCTGTTGTATAGTCCAAAACCACTGCACGATGTGCACCAAATACTGGCGAGATGGCACCGTGTTGAAAAGTCCAAACAGTGTCTGTGAGTTAAAATGGTCGCCATCCATTGTTCTCACCATGTGCTTCATCCATTGTTCTCACCATGTGCCTCTGATACAGGAAATGGTGGCCACCCAGTAACTCCACAGTATGTCCCCAGATGGTTCTTAAAGGGCCAGCAGCAGCACAACACAAATCCTTTATGCCCAAATCATGTCTTTAAAGGGCAATACATTCCAGGGCCATAGTCACATGGCAGGAGGCTGGCAATCAGTCTTCTCCAATGCCCAGTGGTGAGATCGGTTTCACCACACCCATTTCTTCATCCCTGACCTAGTTCATTCTGGATCAAGGGGTGTTTTTTCAAAATTTAGTAATAAGCACTCAATGTACAAAACTGGGGTATTTTGTCATGTTTGCACACTAATTATCTATCCATGCTAATACATAATATACAGAAACAGTTTCCTAGAGAAGGAGTTAAATGGAGAGGGGGGAGAAAATGTTCTAGAGGAAATCTGAAGTTACATAAACGTAGATAACCTCACTAACCTGATTTATGAGATTATTTTCTGCAATACCTTAATCTTTCTTTCTAGGGAAGTGGCTGTGAATGCAAGGCGCTCCTCTCCCCACCCACTAAACAAAGCTTACATTCACACCTTTAAACAAACAGAGCGTGTGTTTACCACGAGATAAAACAGTTATTATAACATCGAAGAACCCATTAATATTGTACGGAGAGAAAGATAGACACAGGTATTCAGTAAAGTGGCAATTTTGGGGAATTTAAGGTGAATTTCAGATTTCAGGCTAAGCCAAACCAAAATATTCCAATTTGACTATTTTGCTCTTACAGGGATTTTCATTTTTAAATCCTAACAATTCCGTTTAGTATAATAACAGTATGAGGGTAATTTTCCAGAACAGGTTACTGTAGTAAACTTAAAAGTAAATGTTAGGGGGGCGGAGCCAAGCTACTGCACTGAATGGCCGCACGCTGTCTGAACTCCGGACAAAACGACCACTTTTATCCCTATCACACCGGCCAAACTTGACATACCGGACACAAAACGGACACCAAGGCTGCTGACGCAGAGATGGGGCGGAAATTGAAGAAACCCAAGCCCAACAAGCCACGGCAGCAAGTGAGCATAGGCGATCTCTGGAGACAGGCACAGGGCGCAATGGGCCCAAACATGGCCGCCTTCCCTGTTGAATATTCCGACTTCTCGGACGACTTCACAACTGGCCCAGAGGTAGAGCCCACACCCAAGGGCCCTCGCCAGTCTCCCCCACAAGCTGATTCCACCCCAGTCACAACGGCAGTGCTGAAAGAACTGCTCACTGGGGTATAGCTCGCTCTGCAGGCAGACATGGCCCAGATACGAACAGACCTACAGGGCCTCTCCAACCTTTCACTTCCCACATAAACCATCACCTACAAATGGAGGGGCCCACACGCGCTACAAATATGCCATGGAAATTCCCGGTACACCGTCCAAGTCATGCAGGATGCACGCAACCTTCTGCCTACTCTGGATCTACGACATGATTTCTTACCTTCAAGAGGACCACGACCAACCACTGTATCACCCGGGATAGGAGACCCTGCAACGTCTCTTCCATTTGTCCCCCGACAGCCTGATGCCGCGAACTATGCAGCTGTTACGACCTGAGGGGATCTGAAGGATAAATAGGACTGTACCTGCATCCATAGGGACTTTTAAGCCTAACACAGTCCACAACCAACATGTTGCCTTTAATTTTTTGTTACCTGTCTATTAGGATCTGTTTATCTTTCTTCCTTCCTTCCTAGTTTAAAGTTGTACACTCCTTACCACTCGGCCGCAGTGCCATAGGTTTAGGCGGGACCGGGTCATACTGCACACCTATTCTCTCAACACGAGAGCTACAAAAATGCTATCTCTTCCACAGCACCAGCAGTGCCCGATGTCACATAGCAACGCACACAAGTCATTTATAGAGAGCAGGCCACTGGGATACCACCCTCCCCCTCCACCCCCGGTTACAGGGTATTTTAAGACACTTATGTCGTAAGACACAAGTTCCACTCCATCTGAATAGCGCATAACATTTATAACGTTACCGACCGCACTAGACACATAGAAATTGAAATCTCCACGACACCTCAGCGTCGGTAAGCACCTACGGCAAGCTGAGCACACCTACCAATGTATGATCCTCGCCTAAATACCACGATCTCCACTACATGTAGGTCTGCAGGACAAATGTTACACAATTACAAAATTACAAAACGTGCAGTCCAAACAAAGGCCATGTAACGGTTTTATGCTAACTGTTATATCATGCTTGTCACAGCTATCGTGGCATTTCAAGCCGATTTGTTACAATCTGCAAATGAAAAAAAAAAAAAGCTAATTTTAGAATTTAGACAGAAATAAAATCACCAACTTACCCATAATCACTACTTTAGCCAACACGAATGGATTTTAACCCCTTAAGGACGGAGGCAATTGTACAAGTTCTGATCTAAACAAAATGTAAACAAAACCTGCAATTTGCGTTATAAGTTTGCTCAAACATAATTCCCCTCTTTCATATTTAGTGCACCCACACATTTTATATATTATTTTATTCAAGAAAAAAAATTAAGTTTTGTATGGTAGTTCCATTTGGAACAGTGTAATGCCACAGAGTTGTAGTACCTTTGGGCTGGCTGCATGATCCCCCTAGCCCTGGGATAAATCCAGAGAGCTAAGCCTGAGAGCCGCAAGTTGTTAAGGCAATAGAAATCAGGGTGCAGGCAGAGGGGGATACCTGCCTGGAAGAAGGGATGCAGCGGAATAGGCAGAGGAGGCGATACCTGACTGGAAGGAGAGCTGCAGCCTTGTTGGAGGGAAAAGCTTCAGAAGGACCCCAGTCAATCCACGGTGACTGGGGCAGAAGAACGTCAGTTTTACCCGGCTCCAGCTAGGAAGCAATCCTGGGTGGAGGTACCTAGCTGAGGAACAGGGAGCTCCGCTACAGGGGCCAAACACCATTTTGTCCAATCAGCACCTCCTGATAGAGATGCATTGAATCAATTCATCTCTATGAGGAAAATTCAGCGTCTCCATACAGAGCATGGAGACGCTGAACGGCAGTGCTGCTTACTATGCTGCACTGCCCCAGGAAGCACCTCCAGTGACCACTTGGAGGTGTCCCTAGGGGGCAATGTAAACACTGCTTTTTCTCTGAAAAGGCAGTGTTTACATGAAAATGCCTGAAGGCAATGATTATACTCACCAGAACAAATACATTAAGCTGTAGTTGTTCTAGTGACTGTAGTGTCCCTTTAATATTGTTAGCTTTTACTGCAATAAAATACACATAGTGGTGGTTCAATAACGTCTCACGGGTACAACAGTATCCAGGTGTCCAAGTTTTATGGGGTTTTGGAAAGTAAAAGGGTCAAATATACAGCTTGCCTATTTCAGTTTGCCAGGCCTATGTTGCCATAGAGACCATGTGGCAGCCCAGGAATGACAATCACCATCATCATGGCATATCATTTGCAAAAGTAGACAACCCAAGGAATTCAAAATGGGGTATGTCCAGTCTTTTTTTTAGTAGCCACTTTAGTGCTTAGATTATATTATACTATAATTAATAAAATCACTTAATTAGGTAAAAATATCTAAAAATATAGATGTAGAATATATATATATATATATATATATATATATATATATTCAAAATATGCTAAAAAAAAATAAATAAATTTCAGTTTGATAATATGGCAACAGTGAGCCAACTCAAATGTAAAAAAAAATAAAAAAATAAAGTCTGATAAAAGTATTGACTGAGAACCATGTAGCTACTTTATCTATAAGTTCTGGGGAGACTAGGCTACTGACACTCAAGAGGGAGAAAGGACTATAGTGGAGAGCTAAAAGACATTCAGGTACTGTAATCCCTATGGTTTACTGGCCTGGAAATAGCCAAGACTATCCAACTGCTAGGCTTGAAGACCTCTCCTGGTCCATTAGGAGAGAAAGAAAGACTATCAGAAGAATGCTAGACAGCAGATCTATAGACATAGATCCTAAGGCATATATCTAGGACAAGAGGAGAAAGTTTAATTTCTTATTCTAAATCACTAGGCTTTAGAGCTGGAAGAATGATTTTCTGTTAATAGAGAGAATAAGTCACTTTATGACTAAATTCAAGAAGAGATTTGAGGATTATTCTATAATGTGAAATATGGTAAAGGGTTCTCTGCAAAATAGTGCTTGATGGCCTGATATCCTTCTGCCCGATGCTAATGTCACTGGTAGAGCTACTTAAATATTTAGCAATTGTAGAAAGATAGGGTCTCGTGGTTAAAATGGTGAAGATGTCAGATGCCTAAAAAAAAAAACAGGGAAGAATCCCATAGGGAACAATGCTTCACTGAGGGATCATATAAATACAACCTACAGATGTTTAGATACCTCCATATCAAAGCCCCTTTATGAACAGAGAGAACAGAGAGTGCAGAGACATGTACCTCTAAGTCCTAGATGAGACCTGGATTGAAGAACTCTAGAACCTCCGTGGTAGAGGGAATTTGAATAATCACCTAATTAGAAATAGACCAGGAAGACCTCTGTAAAGATAGCCGAGGAGATTCGATTTTGGACAAAAGTTTGCCAACCCCAAATCGTAGTTATTAATGTCCAAGGGATATCTAAAGGAAAGTTAATCTCCATTTTGCCATCTTATGAGACCTATGATAGAGGACCTTGAGAGCTGTACCGTGCCTTGTACTGTGTCGAACCATGTTCCCAGCTATACTCTTAATTGGGAGGTTACAAGGTGACTTCAGCAGACATTTACCTTTCACCATGAAAATATAAAGATAAAAGTGTCCTTCATCTGCAATCTGAGAAACCTCTGGTTATGTGAAGCAGTGGGTACATGGAAATAAGCATCCTGCAAGACTATAGACATCATCCGTAGTACTAGGAATCCAATAAACGTGCGTAGATCTAGAATGGATCTTCATCCACCTGTTAGAAATAGAATATTTGTGTACAAGCTGCTTTTGAGACTTCTCAAAATAGCAAACTCTAATTGAAACAAAGCCATGAAATTGACTTTGGAAAGAACCTGGTATCGGAGTTGGAATGAAGGTAAATCTGAGCAAATTTTCTTCATTTATTGGGTGGGGACCTAAATGTGAAGGATTACGCCGAGCAAAACCAGTGTTTTCTTCTTCTTGGTTGGAGTAACCTTTTAAAGAAACTTTGTTATCCAGCCTTCTCAGCTGATTTTATTAGCCGTGGGTTCGGATTGCGTATGGCGAGAGCCAATAAAAAGGAGAAAATGCATTTTAAGGTTTTTGTTTGGAGACAAGATGTTAAACAATTTAGAAATTAATTTACAAAGCAAAACATCTATTTTAAAACATGCCCGATCTGTAGGGTCTATTCCACGATGGAGGCAGTAAATCGATGGAGTTTGTCCTGTACACCGGCACCTGTGACGCATTAACAAGGAAACTAAAATATTCTCCAAACCAGCTTGACCAGACTGGTCTCTGCATTCCAGTTATAATTTCACTCAGTTTAGTCAGAAACCCATAATGTGTGTGAAAACTTACAATACAAACCAAACAGAGCTGCTCTAATCCTCCATGTGTCCCCGTCCCTTAATGCAAACATTGGGGTTTTTTTGTTCTTTTTTGTGTTTTGAAAGGAAGGATTAAATATAATTCAATTTTATAAAGTCTCACATTCCTGTTTCAAACAATCTGCCTCCAGTTGTGCTGACAACTTAAATATGAAAGTTCACTTACAGAGTAGTGAGAGTTCCTCACTCAGACGCCCAGCTAGACCCACGGAAGATTTCCAATTGTGCTAGAATTAATTGACTAACACTAACGCTGGAAACATAAACTGGATTAGTGGTTATGGTGCTTGGCGTGTCCCTATAATGTGGAAATATCCAGTTGAGAAAACAAAAACCCATTAAAAAAAAATAGAAATCTATAACTTGTGTTAACCTTTTATTCAACTGATAAGTTTTGCTTTACATTTTATAATACACATTGCTAATGAAGGGGAAATAGAAACACGGTCTGCTCTCTCTCTGCGCTGACTGGCAGGACAGAGGTTATAACAATGACTGACGGTGAGCTAAGATGAAGGCGCCCAACTGCAGGATAAAGAGGTGGATTTGTACAATGTTATCGGTTTACATACATCACCGACGCATACATTTTGTTAAATATATTTTAAAAAATCATGGGAAGTGAAAGCTAGGTTTTGGTCCTGGGGTAATTAAATTGTAGATAGTGAAATAATGGGCCCTAGGCAATCAGTGGACTACAACTCTGAGAAACCTGAGCCAGCCAAAACCACAGATCGTTCTTTGTAATAATCATGGGGTTGCAGAATAAGAACGCTCCAGCAATAAATATCTCCCTGCAGAAATTCTCAGGTAACTAGAGCTTCTACACCTGGGCGAGTGGGCGACAAGATTTCACTACATTTTCCTTTTGGATAACAACTGGTCAGAAGATTGCATCTAAATGGGATTTCCCAGAATCCACCTTCATCATCTCACCTTCATTTCAGTTAATAAAGTCATTGAACAAATATAGGAATGTAGGCTGTACCCATTTTACAACAGATATGTTGTCCTTTAGTTAACAAATAAGTGGGTAGGACGCCAGGCTTAGTACAATGCCAGTTTTATTTATTGTATTAATCAATTTAAAGGGACACTTCAAGCACCAAAACAACTTTGCAACACTTGTTAAAGCCCATTTCAAACCACATGATCACTCCACATGAGCATGCAATCTCCCACCATACATGAACAAGCACTGTTTAGAGACAACAGAACACCAAATGCTCACAGATATACATGGAAATTTCACAGTTTCATAATGTTGTTTAGGGCATTTGAAAGAATACGACAATTGTGCTAAACAGTCTCATAGCGATCAATCTTTCTGTCCTGCAAAAAGAAACGTGTGCAGAATATGTGAGAGGTTAACCCCGTTAGGACCAATGACAAAATGATTCCGTCATGGCAGTCTGTGCCAAGACCACCCATGACAGAACAATTCCGTCCTGTACTAAAATTATGGCCAAAATGCCCCAATTGCACCAATCATGGGGTTAAAGCTATTGCTGAGTGCTTTGATGTTATAGGCAGATCTGCAACAGTAACGGTGCGGTCTCAGCGATCGCTGTGACAACCAGTCACATCAGTCTCATTACTGTTGATCTACCTAGGTATGAAGTGGAGAAAACCGATCGGAGAGTTACTTACGTGTGCTGCAAGTGATTGAATTGTATTAATAAAATGAAACCCATTTTACTATAAACCCCAATATTACCCTTCACCCGCTTTATCAGAATACGGGTCACGGTACTTTACTGTGATCTGGGTTTTTAACCCCTGGGGTAAATTAGATTTTTATTATTTTTTTATTTTATGAATGGTAAATTGGTGATTTAGTTGTGTGGGGTGGGTAGAAATTGGTGGGGAACTGGGGAATTTAGTCTTAGATTATTTAAGGGTTAAAAAACTAAACAAAAAAAACCCTTAAACAAATTAAAATAAATAAATATTAAGGTAATTTTAGTTGTAGATAAAGTTCAGTCTGATTTACTGCCAAGGAGCCTTATTCAATGTTAGCGGCTGATTCAGAGGCGACAGATAGCGCTTCAAACAGTGATGCAGTGACGGTGATATGTGCCATAGCTAGAAACAACCGCCGATTCCCCTGACGCTGCCCAAGATGCAGATATCTTGATATAACCATTGATTTTACCCCTGACATCCCTATCTTTACAACTCCAGACATAAAGGCCATCCTGTCCATCTGTGGCCCAGTAGAGTTTATGCAGGTGTTCCTGGGGGAGGGATGATATTTTTGGGAAGATTGTAACATAAACCATTCTCTATGCTGAGCAGTATGTTTGCTGCCAGTAAAGCGGCATGTTACCCCACCAGTGTCCCTGAATTAAGATATTTTTTTGGGCACTCACAATGTTAAGTGGGATCATAAAGAAGCCTATTATGCGCTTGTATTAGACAGAGAATCCCATTTGCTGTACCCCGATTTTTTTCCACAAACTTTGAAGAGACACAGATATGAGACATTAGTGCAGTTTATACATTTTATTGATAATAGTGAGTGCCTACAATGAATGAATCCACAATATGACAAATTGATTAAAACTCGCCCGCTCATTTCCCACTTAACACAGACACATGTCCCCGCCCCCCCCCCAAATAAAATCTGTAGAGACAAGTCCCTAGACTAGAGCAAATGCTGCTGTTCATAATGTGTGTAATAAACGTTTAACTCGCAAGTTGGAATAAACTTGGAATTAATAATAACATTAATAACTAAAAATAATAACTTAAAAACCGAGTGTAAAGTCAGAGTCCACACTCCTTGCTTTCGGCAATTCAATAATATTTATTAATAAAGGCTTAATCAAACAAATAAACAATACATATACATTTGAAATAGGCTAGTATATGTTGCTACTAAAACTAATCATTGACTGAATGGAAAGTAGGCTAAATTAACATAATAAAACAGGCATAGACACGTGATACAGTTACCACTCCATTGATCAGCAGCTGAGAGTAAGAGAGAGAGGGTGTGTACAGTGGGGAGAGGGGAGAGAGGAGAGAGAAGGTGAAGAGAGGTAATTCAAAGAGACAGACAATGTGCTATTCACAGGGCTTTAAACAGGTTAGCCCCTCCTTCTGCTGGACACAACCCCCTCAGTCAATGCCTTAGGATGTAACAGACCCAAAGTGCCTCCTGGGGGAAGGGGGATTGCAATGGAAGGGAATGCAGGAGGAGTTTATCAACGACCCAACTGGTTTTGTCTGGTGAAAGGCCATGTGCTTCACAGAGGACTCCATTATTGCCTAAGGGTAGAATGGGGGCTTGAATCCCTGTATTAGAACACAATAACACTTCATTGGCATACAGTTTGGCTGTTAATCACATCCCCCACTTATTACAATGTGAATTAATGAACTGCTTATATTTTAGAATAGAAGTGACCTTTGTGGGGTAATGGTCTGCTGCAATGCTGTAAAATATTAGAAAATGTATAATAATATAAAAAATAAAGTATTCCCACTACACTTGTTACATGCCATACCATGGAGTGTCTACTTTCCTTTTGATGGGGTATTTTGTAACAAACTGCTAAAATACCTCAAAATGAGATGTAGACCCATCATATCGATCTATGAAAATTCTCACCTAAAACGTTGGAATGGTATGGACTCACTGGAACTTCACAGATAGTGTCTTTGGTACACATTGGGTGGTATTGTTGTACTCAGAAAATATAGCTGAGCAAATTTGTTTTATTATTATTTTTTTTTAATCACAGTGGCACACATCAGATTTACAAAAGGCCTAACCAAAAATGCAACATACAGGTACAAAAATAATTAAAAAATAAATAAATCCAAAAACCTACAGGCCTTTGTTGGGTAATTTGAACAATGAAACTGCTATAATGCCCCAAATTGAGACAAAGGCCCATCAAATTCTTTATTGAAAATTCAAACTGTAAAAAACCGAAGGTTTGAAGCTTTGCAGGATAGTGTTAAAGGCATACATTGAGGGTATCACTATTCTCAGAAGATGCAGCCGAACACATCATTGGATAGGCGTAGCATGCATCTTGTTTACAAAATACACATTTAACCCCTTAAGACCGGAGGGCGTACTATTACGCCCTATTTTAGGCGGCTCTAAACGCCACCGGGCGTAATAGTACGCCCTCCAGTCTTTCATTACTTACACGGTTGCCGGCGGTCCCATGCCGGCGATCGCGGTTGGGGGGACTTCCAGGGAGCCCCCCTGCGGCAGATCTTCCTCCTGGCAGCCCCCCCCGGCCATGTGAGAGTGAGGTCCTTGCGAGGACCTCACAAATAACATGGCCGGGTTAGCTATATATATATATATACATACACACACACACACACATACACTGTCTAGGTGTATTTTACTATTAATATATATAATATATATTAATATATATATCAAATTACACGTAGACTGATATTGATTAAATATATATTATATACATAATTTATATACATAAATATATACGTATATATCACTATAAATATATTTTTTTAAAATATATATATATATATATATATATATATATATATACACACACACACATATACACACACACACACACACACACATATTCACATACGTATATATATATATACACATATTAATTCTACATATATATTTATGTGAGCAGGAAACAAGAAAAATACAGGGTGCGCTAGGTAGAATAAATGAGAGATAAATGGTACAAATAGGAGATAATATTTACAAAGAAAAAGTCTCTGAAAATGCAAGGTGGGTTTTGGGTAGGTCTTCTTAGATCCTTGATAAGGTCGATCGATAGAGCTATGCCCAGCTCTAGGTAAAACAGCATACAGTGGTATTTGGAACTCCCCACATGTAGGATATAGCTGGCCAATAGGTAATTCTTCAATACTTTGTACAACGACTCAAATATGTGTCAGCATATAAAAAACATAAAAGAAAAAATGGACCAATGGTACAATAGCGTATGACACCTGCAACTACAGACAAACACTGAAGTCCTGAGAGTGCCAACTTACAGTGAAAAGAGCTATAACCAGCTCTGAGTAAAACAGCATACAGTGGTATTTAAACTCCCCACATGTAGGATATCCTTCTGGTGATGTATGGAGTGCAGGATTTATGAAAGACAAAAGCACAGAAGAGAGCCCATAGTGTTCTCAGTAGATAAAATGGTGCTAAAAAGTAAAATGAAACGTACTTACAATGTATGGAGCAGCCACACTGCTCTATAAACCAGGTGTGAGTGGAATAATACCCACCTAAGGATTTCTTTGTAGTACTGGATCTTTTAAAATAGTAAAAAACAGCCAGGATAAAAGTAGCAAAAAAATTAAAAGTAGAAGGACTGACCATAGGGATATAGGTGGTCTAAAAATACTTTTATTATAATAAGGTCATAAAAAAATATGAAATCCTATTTGAAAGATACCATGTCCCTCCTTCTCTTTTTTAAAGACTTTGTATGGCAAAAAAACTAAATTTTGGTGACTTGCGACGTAACATCCCTTTACACTATCATCCCCCATGAAAAAGGTGCGAAGCAGTCACTAAAATACTAAAACCAGAAAAAAAAAAAGATTACCAGAATCTCAAATTCTCTTTATTATAGAGGGTATTAAAATCATCTTAAATAACAACTTTTTTTGGTTTTTAGACTCCTTTTATATCTAGAAAAGGGGCACGACAATGGGAACCAGGTTTGCCCCCAGCTACACTAACTTATTCATGGCAGACTGGGAAGCTGATGCAGTTTGGGGTGACCATGAATGGAGGGCAAACTTGGTTTCCTATTTCCGCTACATTGAGGACATGTTTTTTTATCTGGAATGGCACTAACAGCTCTTTACAACTGTTTTAAAAACACCTAAATCAAAATGACAGAGGTATAGTCTTAACTACAGAGTCTAGTACAGAAGAAATTAATTTTTTAGATCTAAATATTTTTATTAAAGACGGACAACTAAACATAAAAACTTTTTTTAAAAAGGTGTGTAGTAACACAGTCATTGATCAGAAAAGTTGCCACCACGCACCCTGGCTTGAAAGTGCTCCTAAAAGCCAATTCATAAGACTCAAAAGAAACTGCACACTCAATGACGATTTTAATGAACAGAGTAACATTTTAAAAAACAAATTTTTAGAGAAACACTACCCAGAGGACAAACTTAACACTATTATCACTAAAATAAAATCCAATGACAGAAGCAGCCTCTTGAAATATAAAAATGAAAAGAAACTAAAAAAACTACCGTATTTATCGGCGTATAACACGCACTTTTTCTCCCTGAAAATAGGGGAGAAATCGTGGGTGCGTGTTATACGCCGGCCCTTTAAATTCTGCAGCCGCCTGAGCGCTCTGTCAAGAGCGCTCAGGCGGCTGCAGTTGGTACTCACCTCCCCTGCAGCGTGGCCGAGCCGCTCTGCCGTCCGCGGTGGCCGGCCGGACTGATAGGAATGTGAACGCTCAGTGTGCACCTTCCTGTCAGTCCGACCGGGTACAGGAAACAGAAATTCCTGTTCCGCGCGGAACAGGAGTTTCTGTTTCCTGTACCCGGTCGGACTGACAGGAAGGTGCACACTGAGTGCAACTTCCTATCACTCCGGCCGGCCACCGCGGAAGAGGCTCGCCACGCTACAGGAGAGGAGGGGCCAAAAAGAGGGAGGGGCAACAAGAGGGAGGGGGCAACAAGAGGGGAGGGGGGCCAACAAGAGGAACAAGAGGGAGGGGGGCTACAAGAGGAGGGGGGGCAACAAGAGGTAAGGGGCAACAAGAGGGGAAGGGGGA